TGCATGTAATATGAGCACTTGTGGTGAGACTGGCGTTTTAATTTCTCTTTTAAGAAGAAAATATTGGTTATGCATGTTCAAATGTAAAAATATCAATAACTTCTGACAGGTCTTCAATAGTTTCACTATGTTTTCATGATATATGCTGGGGAGAGGCTCAATTAGGTGTGAAATTTACTTTTCAACAATCAGTCAAATCTATAGTGAAAAAATTCTAATCCTCTCATAGTAATTGATGCTATTGAACAAAACGAAGACTTACTGTAATTACTGTAACAGTAAATCCTTGCTATGCAACTTGCCCCAAATTTTAAGCAATCCAGCTTGCTTTCATGTTTTCTGATCTTTTCACTTTTTGTGTAACTGACACCAATTTCATTAAGATTGGTTGTAATCTTGCCATTGCTTGTGCTTATAAATATTATATTGCAAGTATTATTTTCATGCATTTTGGGATCATCTTTTTATCAATTTTCATCGCTCATCACCAGTTACCGTGGAGATAAAAAAACACAAGAGATGTACATGTACATTATTGATTTTCAAAGTTAGTTATTTTAAAGTCTTCTACAGTGTATTGCAGTATAGTTTTTATGCATGCAATTATTAATTTATTTTTAATATTTACTGGGTTTCACTATTTTGATGTTTGGATTTGCCATGTTGGGCCTTCACAGTTTCAGAATTTAATGAATAAATTAAATGCCTAATATTATTTTATGTTTAACACATTTAGCAATTGTTTTGACAAACACAACTAATCCTGCTAAACTATCAAGAAGGAATTAACATAAAAACCCGTGAATACTAGTAATCAAGACTTGTGTAATATTTTATAGGGTTATGGTTATCATCTGCATCAGTTCAAAAATATGCATCACAGCTTTTTAAAAATGTCTGAATTTTTCATAAACTGTAGACAAATCAAATTTTCATGAAAAATTAAAAATGAAAGTGTGCAATAAATTTTTTGAAAACAACTTGACTGAAATTTTATAATATTTTTCTGGACCTTATTGCATTCATTCTTTTTGTGTTTTTTGATAGTAAAGTTCTTGTAATTTTTTGACTCCCATGTGCGAAGCACAAAATGGGAGTCTTTGCAGTTAGTGTGTGTGTGTGTGTGTGTGTATGTGTGTATGTGTGTCCGACTGTTCCACTGC